TGAATCGCCAGGTTTACACACTTCACAGTACATACCATAGCACATACCCTCCCCAATGTCTATAACCCCACCCCCCCCCCCAGCAACCCTCAGTTTGTTTTGTGATATTAAGAGTCTCTTATGGTTTGTCTCCCTCCCGAACCCATCTTGTTTCATTTCTTCTTTTCCTACCCTCCAAACCCCCCACGTTGCATCTCCACTTCCTCATATCAGGGAGATCATATGATAGTTGTCTTTCTCCTATTGACTTATTTCGCTAAGCATAATACACTCTAGTTCCATCCATGTTGTCACAAATGGCAAGATTTCATTTCTTTTGAAGGCTGCATAGTATTCCATTGTATATATATACCACATCTTCTTTATCCATTCATCTGTTGATGGACATCTAGTTTCTTTCCATAGTTTGGCTATTGTGGACATTGCTGTTATAAACATTCATGTGCACATGCCCCTTCGGATCACTACATTTGTATCTTTAGGGTAAATACCCAGTAGTGCAATTGCTGGTTCGTAAGGTAGCTCTATTTTCAACTTTTTGAGGAACTTCCATTCTGTTTTTCAGAGTGGTTGCACCAGCTTGCATTTCCACCAACAGTGTAGGAGGGTTCCCCTTTCTCCACATCCTCGCTAACATCTGTCATTTCCTGACTTGTTAATTTTAGTCATTCTGACTGGTGTGAGGTGGTATCTCACTGTAGTTTTGATTTGTATTTCCCTGATGCCAAGTGATGTGGAGCACTTTTTCATGTGTCTGTTGGCCATCTGGATGTCTTCTTTGCAGAAATGTCTGTTCATGTCCTCTGCCCATTTCTTTTTTCTTTTTTTTAAATTTTTTTTTAAAAGATTTTTATTTATTTATTTGACAGACAGATCACAAGTAGGCAGAGAGGCAGGCAGAGAGAGGAGGAAGCAGGCTCCCTGCCGAGCAGAGAGCCCAATGTGGGGCTCGATCCCAGGACCCTGGGATCATGACCTGAGCCAAAGGCAGAGGCTTTAACCTACTGAGCCACCCAGGTGCCCCCTCTGCCCATTTCTTGATTGGATTATTTGTTCTTTGGGTGTTGAGTTTGCTAAGTTCTTTATAGATTTTGAATACTAGACCTTTATCTGATGTCTTTTGCAAATATCTTCTCCCATTCTGTCAGTTGTCTTTTGGTTTTGTTAACTGTCCTTTACTGTGCAAAAGCTTTTGATCTTGATGAAGTCCCAATAGTTCAGTTTTGCCCTTGCTTCCTTTGCCTTTGGCGATGTTCCTAGAAGAAGTTGCTGCAGCTGAGGTCAAAGAGGTTGCTGCCTGTGTTCTCCTCAAGGATTTTGATGGATTCCTTTCTCACATTGAGGTGCTTCATCCATTTTGAGTCTATATTCGTGTGCAGGAGGCAGAATTTTGCCTGACTGAAGGACATACTCTCATACTTACTTTTTATTATTTATTTATTTAAAAAAGATTTTATTTATTTATTTAACAGAGAGAGAGAGAGAGAGAGAGAGATCACAAGTAGGCAGAGAGGCAGGCAGAGAGAGAGAGGGCGAAGCAGGCTCCCTGCTAAGCAGAGATCCTAATTCGGGGCTTGATCCCAGGACCCTGAGATCATGACCCCAGTTGAAGGCAGAGGCTTAACCCACTGAGCCACCCAGGCGCCCCTCATACTTACTTTTTAAATGAGTCTGCATTTAAATGAGTCTACATTTCTCTGTAACTGGTCTCTCTAAAAGTGGAATAGAGATACTTTTCCTTTAATAGATGATCATGGTTACAGAGTTAAAAAAATATATATATATGTATATATATAAATAGACTCAAGAAGTGCTTGAATTAAGGTGTCTGGGTGGCTCAGTTGGTTGAGTGGCTGCCTTGGGCTCAGGTCATGATCCCATCAGATCGAATTCTGCATCAGGCTCCCTGCTCAGTGGAGAGCCTGTTTTCCCTCTCCCTCTGCCTGCTGCTCTGCCTACTTGTGCTCTCTATCTCTCTGCCAAATAAATAAATAAAATCTTTAAAAAAAAAGATAAGAAAAAAAGTGCTTGAATTAATTTACGATATTCATGGGTTACAAAGGGAAGCTGAGTGTTTGACATATGAAACTAACTATTTGGGTTGATGTCAAAAAGGGAGACCATTACCTCACCCAAATCATTTTATTTTTTCCAATCATTCACTTATTTTTTAAAGAAACATTTATTGAGAATCTGCTATGTGCAAGGCTGGATGATACATGCTGGTGATACAAAGATGTGTTAGATGTAGTTATCCTCAGGTAACTTACAACGCACTTGGGACCTGGCCATTAAAAACAAATCTCAGAAATATTAAACCACCCATATGCAAAAATTTTCAGAAATATTAACAAGATTAGCTGACTTTTACTGAACATTTATCATGCACGAATTAACACACATCATCTCATTAAATCTGTACTATTGCATAAGGCAAGAATTAGCAACTAAGGCTTAAGTAGACTAAGTACCTTCTCAAAGTTGCACAACTAGTAAGTGATAGAACTGGGGTTTATACTCAGACAACCTGATTCTGGAGCGCTCATCTTCTTGAGAATGAGAGAAGTTGCTTTTGCTAATCTCTTCATAAGGACACCAAGATGAGGCAAACATCAATGGAATGAAATAATTACGAGGGAAGTACAGGTAACTGGGAAGATCTCAAGATATGAACCATACATATATATACTTAGCCTGCAAAGAGGAATTACAAGAAATTTATGGGATGATGTATTATTTATAAGCAAATAGGAGGTTACAGGAAGATCATCAGGAGTGACACAAGGTAGAAAACTGTCTTCCTAAATGTAAAAGTTCTTCTATATGGCTCTAGACACCAACTATTCTAAATAAAGACATCAGGTGGCCTCAGAGTACTCTGAGCTCTGTGCCACTAAAGGTACAGGAAATTCTTACTGGATACAGTCACTGAAGATGGAAAAGGACACAGCCCATGCCTGATACATCCATTGCCAAAGAGAAAGAAAAAGAGCTTCTCTCTCATAGATTCAGTTTGAGAACTTACTCAAGTTCTGGTGGCCTGGAGGAACTATGATGGCTTCACCGAGGTCATGGCCCATTCTTTGTGACCATGAAAGTAAGCTGTTACTAGAGAATGGGGATTCAGCGGATGCTGGGCAGACCAAGAACTATCTCCACAGGTATCACTGTCATCAATTCATTCAACAAATATCACCTGTAATCTAGAATATTCTACACACTAGGACATAGAAATAAGTAAAACAAATTCCTAATCCTAAGGTACTTAGAATTTAATCCAGAAAGAAAAGATATCAAGTAGTTTCAGATTAGATGAGAAGACAAAATTATCACCCAGTGGTGAACAATTCTCCATGGCATATAATAAAGTGCTAAAATGTTTGGTATACACCACAAGGCTATCGTTATTCTAAGGAGAGGAAAATCAATATAGTAATCAGGAACATGAATTAAGCCTTAAGGGATGGGGAAGATTTGGCTGGAAGAAGATAAGGGAAGGAACTCAGAGGAAAGAAGAGGGAATTCAAAGGAAAAGACAACTATAAGTGAAGAGATGGAGAGAGAAAGAAAGACATTCAGTGAGGAGACTGACTTGAGAAAAGCAGAGTGTGCCAAGTGGGTGACAACTCATAAATGACACAGCTAAGGCTGGTTATCCTCCCTCCCGGACCAAAACAATGTCAGTGGCCTCATGAAGCTGGAAGGATTCACATGTGTCAGATTTGGAGTGGAAACACACACTTAGATTTAACTCTCTCACCTAATTAGTGTGTTATCCAAGTGTGACCAGAAAGCGATCAACGGTATCAGAATAGGGGCTCCTCCCATGTGCACAACCTTGGAGAAGGCCAATACATGCAGAAAGGACTGTTGAAGGGTGAACAATAACTTGAGTGTTGGATAAATTAAAACTGGTTAAAAATATCTTAAACTCCATAATTTGGGAATCTCTCCTTGACTTTTTGACCAAAATCTTTTCATAAATTTCCACTGCCTTAGAATAAAATCTAAAGGTCTTAGAATGGCATATATGGCCTTTCTTGATCAAATTCTTGCCTACCTTCATAGACTTAACTCCTGCTTCTGCCTGACCTGCTCTAGTAATAAGGAACCATGGGCACTTCCTTGAAAGTTGATTAATCTTGCTTTCTCATGCCCCCATGTCTCCTTTTTGAGTGCCCTTGTTTCTTCCTCTACATGATTAATTCCTATATGTTCTTTAAGACTCAGTTCAAATATTTTCTGCTCTAGGAAATTTAGAATTATTAGTGATTTATGTAGGATTTATTGGCAGGGACATGGGTATTAGTGGTTGCCGGGTTGGGGTAGGCAGGTTGGGGACACCAGAGCTGGGAAGCTAGTAACTAAGAACCCCATTATGGAGAGGTGGGAAGGACATAGGAGGCAGGGCGTATGTGAGCTGAGACTCTAGTCCCCTGGCACATGCTTCATTGTTCCATCAAACTTCACTTATAAAATATAAATCCAAAGATAAAATTTTTAAGAATTTCAAGAGAGCAACCAAAGAGCATTAAATCCCAAGCACAGGGTGTTTCTGAATGCCGGGCCCTGTGTGACTATATTGGTCATAAGTACATGAAGCCAGCCCTGCACATAAGTCTGTTTATTCAGCATTGGTTATAATAGCAAAGTGTAGTAAACAAAATTGTTCATTAATAAGTGATTAAACAAACTATGATCCAACCACACAATAAGAAAATCATATAGCCAGTAAAAAATAAGACAGATCTATAGATACTGACAGAGATGGCTATCCAATGCACAAAGAAGGTTATGGAATATTATGTATATTATGATTCTGTTAAAATACTAAATATATCCTTAATATATATTAGGCCTATATATATACACTTAGAAACACCTGTCTAAACTGTAGAGAAATCTGTTGGGTTCATTTAATTGAAGAACAAAAAGACCATGGAAAATAATCTTCCTGACTACTCATTAAAATTCTTTTTACCTTTTCTTTTAATTCTTACCATCGCTGCCAAGCTCTTCAGCAGGGGATACTGAGTCCATATACTCTAGGTCTCCCTTAGTGATTTCAACCACCTGAAGTCTCCTGACCCTGACTAGGTCTGTATCTTTCAATCCTTCCTCCAATTGTTTGACCACCTCCTTTCCAGGCTGGGAAGTCAGAACAGTAATCTGGAAATAAATCCAAGAATCAATGTGTCTACTTTGATGTACACAGTGAAGAACATAGTAGGTTAGATCTGGAGGATAGACACAGCAGAAGTCTGTGGCAGTGGCTATTTTCTTTGAAGCAGAGAAGATTTTATGGTAACTTACAAATCAAATTTCATTTGACAGATTCTGGTGGAAGAGGTCTGGTGGGACAAATCATTACAGGACCCTTCCAAACAGGTAAGGCCTATCCCAGAAAGCGACCAGTGAGAAGTCATCCCTATGTTTTAATTTAAGGTTGCTTGAAGTTCTCATGCTCAAAATGCTTCAATTTTATAAGGCAATGAAGGAAATAGAATCCTTAAATTCCACTCACTAAGTGTGTACTAAATATTAGAGAATCTCTATGCTTCTTTCTCATGGTTGTGCTTCTACATAGATTTCTCTCCTTGTTCAACCTGCATACAGGTGAGCTGTTTCTTCTGCTTTCTTAACTCTAAAATGTACTCACTCTTGATCAATATATCTAACCTGAAGAGATACTGAGGTGTTTGTTTATAATCTGAATATTTTATTTCACCTGAGTAAATCTTCCAGATGTTTTTATTAGCAGTTTTGTCTTTAATTTGAAAATCTGGAAGGCAAATATTAAATATATGCAATTCTCTTTTGTACTTAGACATTTATTTTTGGTGTTTGGAACGTTTCTTTGGGGGGAAGAGTGAGTGAGCACGTATGTGTGTGCATGGAGGGGGGAAGTAGCAAGACAGACGGAGAGAGAATCTTAAGCAGGTTCCACCACCAGCATGGAGCCTGATGCACACAGGGTTCGATCTCAGGATTCCAAGATTGTGACCTGAGCAGAAATCAAGAGTCAGGCACTTAACCGACTGAGCCACCCAAGTGCCCCAGTGCTTGGACATTTTTGATTAATGAAGGATGCAGATAAAAGCACAGTTGTTTTTTAAAATACATCTGTTTGATGCCTGAGATTTCCAAAGACTGAATGTGTTTTAACTCATGCACCCAGTGGAGTACCCAGGCATGACTGACTTATATTTTTTAAGATTGTCTTAGTCTGCACTAGAAGTTTAGCAATCTTTAAATTTGCACATTTGCTAAGTCCAAGAAAATTTACTCAATTTGATGCCAAGATTTGATTAAGAACAACTGTAAGTTCTGAAGGGTGCAAAGGAAATATAAATACAGACAGCAATCTAGGCAGTTTACCAATTACTTTACAAGCTCCAAAAATCCAGAGGCAGATGGCATATTCAGATTTTGATTTCAGTTTTTCATCATAATTCACTTCAGCCCATATTTTTAGCATTTCTCTCTATGCTGGCTCTGTATAAGAATTACACAGGCTATAGGAAAAAGAGAACATATCTCTTGCCCGCAGGGAGATGAAAATCTAGACTTGAAAATTACCATCAGAGTGTATGAAACAAAGAACAATATCAGGATGATAAATAATAATGAAGTATCTAGATGGCCCGCAATGGTCTTAGAGTCCTAAGGCCAGTATTCTTACCTCCAGGGAAGTGAAGCTCAGAGATGCACCTGTGGTCACATGTCTGCTGTACTGTTTGAACTGCTGAAGGCCATCCTGTACTGCCAGGTGCAGGGAAGTGCTATGTGGCCTGAAACAGCCTTCTCTCTGCAACATGTGGAGTTCTGAGATGCAGGCCTTCAGCCTAACAAAGTTCCCTTTCACTTGCTGTAGAGAAAAATGAACCAAAGATCTTTAGTGACCCAGGTTCCAGATTAATGGGCAGTCCATCTTCTTTATCAGTTATTCCTCAGGGGTCCCTTCCCTTCCTGAAGATTTTTTATTTGACCATATCTATTCAATGCCTACTATGCTTTAGGCACTGCACTAAAATCTTCCCTATACCAGAAGAAAGAAAATTTGTAGCCAAAGGGCTTTGATTATGTGGAGTTACCAGGAACAGGAAAGGAAGTGTTTGAACTTATTCACTCATCCAAATGGAAGTCCAGTTGTGATTGCTGAGTTTTACTTTGGGGGGCTCTGCAAACTGGAGGCCTAGCAGGATCACTCTTAAATATTATTTTCATTTCATAGTCAGTCAAGGCACTGGGAGCCTCTCTAGTTTCCAGAAATGAGGATTTTGATATGGTTGGTCATTCCAGAATGGATAAGGTCCTATCCAGTCTGCTCCTCAGGATCACTTCAATAAAGAAGAGATGCTTGACTTAGTCTGTAGTCAGCTCAAGGAGCCAACATGTAAATCTCTTGGTTCTATCTCACCTCCCTTTATAAAAAGTTACTCTCAGGAAGTAATCTAATATAATCTGATTCTATATCAGTGTTACCTCTCCTAAGGATATTAACATTTTGAATAAAGGTGGAATGCTAATTTGTGACACTATTTGAATTCTAAGCATCAATAGCAGATGGGGGTTGGGTGAGGAGGAATTATATTTGGGATGAGGAAACCACCCTGACAAAGAGCAGAACTGAGCAATATTTGCAAAATGCACATAAAATTCATGAACATGAGTTGCCATTATGCCAGTTTACTTAAGTCAACCCCTGCCTCACTGAATTCCACAGCTGCTTACTTTGCTAACATGCTCCTCTCCCTGAGTCTATGGGAAAAACACAAAAAATAGGATGTAATTCTTACACAAAGAGAATTTGTAATTTAGATGGGAAGATAAGAGACCTACGCAAAAAAGAAAACAAGACCGTATGTATCGACTAGTGGCCTTCAGAAATTTCTTTTCATGTACCCCCTAAAAGAATCTGAAGACTGATAGACTTTGTCTATTATCTCAAGTTTTTACTTAAATTCCAGTTAGTTAACACACAATGTAATATTAATTTCAGGAGTAGAATTTAATGATTCATCATTTACATACAACAGCCAGTGCTCATCATAAGTACCCTCCCTAAGCCCAGTCACCCATTAAACACCCTCCAACTCCCCTCCAGCAATCTCGTTTGTTCTTTATAGTCAAGAGTCTGTTTTATGGTTTTCTTCTCCACCCAATTTTTCATCTGTTTTGTTTCTTAAATTCCACATGAGTGAAATTATATGGTATTCCTCTTTCTCTGACTTATTTTGCTTAGCATAATACCCTCTAGCTCCATCCACATCATTCAAATGGCAATATTTCATTCTTTTTAATGGCTAATATTCCATTGTGTGTGTGTGTGTGTGTGCGTGTATTCCCAGTAGTTCATTTTTGCTTTTGTTTCCCTTGCCTCAGGAGACATATCTAGTAAGAAGCTGCTGTGGCCAATGTCAAAGAGGTTACTGCCTGTATTTTCCTCTAGGATTTTGATGGTTTCTTGTCTCACATTTAGGTCTTAAATCCATTTTTTAAAAGTAGGCTCCATGCCCAGCGTGGGGCCCAACTCAGGGTTCAAACTCACAACCTTGAGAGCAAGACCCAAGCTTAAGAGTCAGATGCCCAATCAACAGAGCCACCCAGGTGCCCAGTTTTTAATCCATTTGAATTTATTTTTGTGTGTGGTGTAAGAACGTGGTCCAGTCCATTCTTTTGCATGTTGCTGTCCAGTTCCCCAACACCATTTATTGAAGAGACTGTCTTTTTCCATTGGACATTCTTTCTTGCTTTGTTGAAGAGTAATTGCCCATATATTTGTGGGTTCATTTCTGGGTTTTCTATGCTGTTCCACTGATCTATGTGTTTGTTTCTGTGCTAGTACCATACTGTCTTAATCACTACAGCTTTGTAATATAATTTTAAGTCCAGAATGGTGATGCCTCTGAGAAAGGAACAGGTGGGGCTAGGTAGGGAGAGATAGGTAAAGGGGCTATGTGATTGGGTTCATAGAAATTCCAAAAATGTGGAGGTATAAGGAAACCAGAGATAAGGGAACACTCTAGGCCACCCTGCCCTAGGTGTCCAAGGGGAAAGTCTTATTATTTTTTTTTAAAGATTTTTTTTAAATTTATTTGACAGAGATCACAAGTAGGCAGAGGGGCAGGCAGAGAGGGAGGGAGAGAGAGAGAGAGAGAGAGAGAGAGAGAGAAGCAGGCTCCCTGCTGAGCAGAGAGCCTGATTCGGGGCTCAATCCCAAGACCCTGAGATCATGACCTGAGCCGAAGGCAGAGGTTTAACCCACTGAGCCAACCAGGTGCCCCGTTTTTAATTTTTAATTTATTTTTAATTAATTTTTTTTTTTAGGGGAAAGTCTTACTTATGACAATCAGAGGCTTAACCCACTCAGAGGCTTAACCCACTGAGTCACCCAGGTGCCCCGTTTTTAATTTTTTTTTTCCAAAATATTTTATTTATTTATTTGACACACAGAGAGAGATCACAAGTAGACAGAGAGGCAGGCAGAGAGAGAGGGGGGAGCAGGCTCCTCCTTGAGCAGAGAGCCTGATGTGGGGCTCGATCCCAGGACCCCAAGACCATGACCCGAGCTGAAGGCAGAGGCCCAACCCACTGAGCCACCCAGGTGCCCTGTTTTTAATTTTTAATTTATTTTTAATTAATTTTTTTTTTAGGGGAAAGTCTTACTTATGACAATCTCCTGTGGTAACAGAAAATAACCAGAACCTAAAAAGAATGAAGCCATTAAAGATGTTAACACTAGTCCTTAATCAGTGGTGCTACCAGTAGAGAAGTCAAAAAGATTTAACTTCCCTGGATAGCTTTTTATAAAAGACCAACTTTAAAAGCCCCCAGTGGCAATCCTGTTGGGATCCCTCTCACTCCTGAGAGCTTTTTCTGTATCCTTGCTTAATAAAACTCAACCGATTTACTCACTCCTTTTGTCCATGAGATTCATTCTTTGATTCTGTGAGATAAGAACCTAGCTCTCTCACTTTACCTACAACTTTGCTTTTCTTTTTCAAGATTGCTTTGGTTATTTGGGGTCATTGAGGTTCCATACAAATTTTAAGATAGTTTTTTCTAGCTCTGTGAAAAATGCTGTTGGTATTTTGATAAGGAGTGCATTCAGTAAGTAAATTGCTTAGGGTAATACAGACATTTTAACAGTATTCATTCTTCCAGGGTGACTGGGTGGCTCAATTGGTTAAGGGTCTGCCTTCAACTCAAGTCATGATCATGGATTCCCAGGATCGAGCCCTGCATCAGTCTCTCTGCTCAGCGGGGATTCTGCTTCTGCCTCTGCCCCTCACCCCACCTGTGCTCTTTCTCTCTCACTGTCTCAAATAAATAAATAAAATCTTTTAAAAAGTATTAGTTCTTAGAGTCCATAAGCATGGAATGTCTTTCCATTTCTTTGTGTCATCTTCAATTTCTTTCTTCAATGTTTTAAAGTTTTCAGAGTACAGATCTTTTACTTCTTTGGTTGGGTTTATTCTTAGGTATCTTATGGGTTTTGGTGCAAATGTAATTGGGATGATTCCTTGACTTCTCTGTCTGCTATTTCATTATTGGTGTGTAGAAATGCAACAGATTTCTGTATGTTGATTTTGTATCCTGAGCCTTTATTGAATTCATGTATCAGTTCTAGCAGTTTTTTGGTGGGGTCTTTCGGGTTTTCTGTAGAGAGTATCATGTAATCTGCAAATAGTGAAAACCTGACTTCTTCCTTGCCAATTGGGATGCCTTTTATTTCTTTTGTTGTCTGATTGCTGAGGCTAGAACTTCCAGTACTATGTTAAATAACAGTGGTGAGAATGGACATAAATGTCTTGTTCTTGACCATAAAGGAAAAGATCTGTTTTTCCCCATTAGGTTATTAGCTGTAGGTTTTTTTGTATATGGCCTTTATAATATGTTGGGGTTTGTTCCCTCTAACCCTGTTTTGTTGAGAGTTTTTTAAAATCATGAATGGATGTTGTATTTTATCAAATGCTTTTCTGCATCTATTGTAAAGGATCCTACAGTTCTTATCCTTTCTTTTATTAAAATGGTATATCACATTGATTGAACCACCCCTGCAGTCCAGGAATAAATCCCACTTGATCGTGGTGAATGATTCTTTCAATGTATTGTTGGATTCTATTTGCTACTATTTTATTTAGAATTTCTGCATCCATGTTCATCAGGTATATTGATCTGTAGATCTCTTCATGGAGTCTTTGTCTGGTTTTGGTATCAGGGTAATGCTGGCCTTATAGAATGACTTTGGAAGTTTTCCTTTCATTTCTGTTTTTTGGAATAGTTTGAGAAGAATAGGTATTAACCCTTCTTTAAATGTTTGGTAGAATTCCCCTGGGAAGCCATCTGGTCCTGGACCTTTGCTTGTTGGGAGATTTTTGATTACTGTTTCAATTTCTTTGCTGGTTATAGATCTGTTCAAGTTTTCTATTTCTTCCTGTTTCAGTTTTGGTAGTTTATATGTTTCTAGGAATTTGTCCATTTCTTCCAGTTGTCCAATTTGTTGGCATATAATTTTTCATAATATTCTAATTGTTTGTATTTCTGTGGTGTTTGTTCTTTCTCTTCTCTCATTTGTGATTTTATTTGGGTCCTTCTTTTTTCTTTTTTGGTAAGTCTGGCTAAGGGTTTTTCAGTTTTATTAATTTTTGCAAAGAACTAGCTCCTGGATTCATTGATGTGTTCTATTGTTTTCCTAGTTTCTATATCATTTATTTCTGCTCTAATCTTTATTATTCTCCTTCCCTTTGCTTTGCTTTTCCTCTTTCCTGCTTGCTGAAACACAAGCCTAAGAATGGCCAACTTGGTCTACAAGACAGTATCTGTGTTGCTGATGGTAGTAAGATGGTGGAACAATGAGCCAGG